TGTCGTGAAATTGCATAAAATCCGGTACTGTGGCCAGAAGAGGCCCTTTAAACCTTTGTGAACAAAGTCCAGGACTAAATCTAGAGAATCCAGGACTAAATCTAGAGAATACCCGAACATGAAGGACAGTAGCTTCAATAAAACGAACATAAAACAGGACACCAAAAAATGGATCCAACAAAGTATCAATGAATACTGAAATGGAATAGACGGCCTATATTATTCCAAAAAATTCTTAAATTTTGATGCCAAAAAGCAAACACCGCTCTCAACCTAAACAAGAAGAGTCTAAACTTACTCTCTGGTACAGTATCAGGCCATGCCGCATGTAACAAACACCTACACAAAATAGGTATTCCGATACCAATATTTGCAGATTCAGCTGTCATGAGGAAGAGTCTATGAAACATCTGATAACCAACTGTGATGCACTACGCCGCGAAAGAAACAAAAATTTTAGGTACATACCAAGTAGAGGATGAAGACCTTCGAAACCTTCCTCCCAAGGAACTGGTTCGATTCCTCGAGATACCAAATATCTAAATACAAAGGGGTTTACAATAGATCAAACTAGTCGCAGTGCAAAGGGGCCTTAGTCTAACCCGAAACCCCCAAACACCATTACCATCACCAAATCTAGAGAAGAACACTTAATCTGTTCTGTGAACATAAATTCCACATGAAATAAGTTTCTACTGTGCGTTGTTAAAGCTGGACAGTCACAAGAATATGCTTAGTAGTTTTCTCATCTTTGAGGCACAATCTGATTTCCGAATTAACAGATAATCGTAGTTTACGAAAGAGATATTTCAGAGACAGACACAAGAAATTAACAATCCTTAAGAAATTTTATAAAAATATTAGTAAAAATTTTATGTACTTTTTAGATTACTTCATTTCTTTTTTCCTTTTATTTTATTTACTTTATTTTTTAATATATAAATTTGTTTTTTGGTTTGCAAAAAATTTAATGAAATCCTCCTAATGAATGAGTGTTGGACAGATTAAAACTCTTCGTCTTACAAATGTTTAAACCAAAACTCAGTTGAATTAATTTGACAAAATTAACAAATTGAACTGTTGAGCTCACAAAACCAAAAAGGGCAACAACAAAACCATTTGTACCTCTTACACTTTCATGCACTTCACCAACATCATTTGTAATCCAGTCCGCTCAGCATGAAGTCATCAGCCGCATGTTGTAGTCGTTTAGCCATATAATCACATACAATGACCTAGTGAGGATTTCCTTAAAGAAGATATATTGACCCTTCAACCGCTTTAGTACATACGAGCATGTAGCGCTCGGTGTGGCGCTTAAAATTTGGAATATTTCACACCATTTATTTGCTCACTTTCACTAATGCGCTGAAACATACAAAATAATTGCAGGAAATCCTGATGGTATTTCTTAAGGGAATTACTGAGGTAATTTTCAATGGATACTCTTCATTGCCTATGCATACTCAGCAAAAAGAAGAGGTTCATATTAGTTTCGGTTATTTGTGAGTTGAATGAATTTCATACTTTTCTTCTGTGATGAATTGATTAGCAGTTTAATACTTCAGTTCCAATTGAACCCAAAACAGTTCAATATATATTTTAATTATTTTCTATTTGTTACATGCGAGTATGTAGCTGCAGATCAAGTTGAAAATATTGCAAACTAAACTGAATTTTTACGGGGTTATCTATTTTATGGTTTTAAAAGTAAGCGTAAATGAAATACAATTGTGATCAAAATTTAAAGAAAATTTTATTATAAATTAATTGTTTAGACCTTGCCATGAAATTCTTGGATCCTTACCAATGGATCATAATTTCACCAGTTAATAATAACCGATGTTTATATTTAAAGTATTAGACTTTGGAGATTGCCCCCTAAATATAATCCTTTACGTAACTTCACAAAAGTGTACATTGATGACAAACTGCATAATCCAAAAACGTATAAAAAATTTCGCAAAGCATTGGTGAAAGAATGTCTTTTCAAATTGACATCTATTTCTGTAAGCTCACAAAAAAATCCATTTGTGGCAAATCAATAGATCCCAAAGCATGGATTCAAACAACTATGAAATGCAAAAGATTGCTAAAACCTCATTATATTAAGACTTTTTATACACTCAGAAAAATATGATCTATCCAGATATTAATTAAATTGACCTGATCATTATGTTAGAGAAACTTTATCTTATGTGGTAAAGAAGATATGAAAACCAACAGGTGGTATGATAGAACCAGCATGATGCATTGATCATATGTGTGTGTTAATAAAAAAAAATTATAAAAAAAAAGTATTAAATAAAATAATTAATTTTTTTTCAGAAGAGCTTGTCCTCCTAATAGCAACTAAATTAATATTTATATCGACCTGATTAAAATTTTTATTAAATACGTTAATAAGTAAATTAAAACATTTACTTTTCTTACTAAACTGACAGATCTATGTCAAGTTTATGGACTTATAAAGTCAGTTCTTTTCAACTGAAACGGAGTAGCCGCACCTTTTCAAAGGAATACTGTTCGTACGTTATATACGTCAGACTTCTACATCTAAAATAGTCCTTTAGGTCTGGCACACAGACAATGCCTCATACATGAGTATGAGTGTGTTGGTGCACAACCATTATCTAATTATCACTTCATGAAGATTTTAAAAAGAATAGAGACAGTTCCATCTTTAAGATGAGCTTTCAGGTCTTGCATACAGACAGTGTTTCATCGCTTGTATCATTACGGGCCATTATTTGTTATTCAGTAAGCTTTGGTGCATAAGGCCGCCACTTTAACCTAACCTAACTATAGATTTCGGATATTTTTAAAAAGCCCCAAAATAAAATACATAGTTTGATTTTTATTGGATATATTTAGTATTTTCATTAAATTAATTTTCATTAAAAGATATGCACTAGCAGAAAGGATAACTTCATGGGGTCTCTCACATTTTCATCACAATATATTTATATAGACTTAGTACATAATCCTCTAGATATATAACATGATTATTAAAATAACAGGGTACATTGTTAATTAAGGTAGACGGATTAACTTTTAAATCAATTTGTGGAGAATAAAATAATTTCCTTTGTTTATAAAGAAATATATCTATGTGTATGATAAGAAAGTGATGTATTTATTATATCATTGAAAACCTATTATTGCAAGTAGTTACTTAAAAACTGGGTAAACACAAAAATGGAATGGTAGATTCTCTATTGTAACATATAGTAATATAATATAAAATAACAATCATTTGATATATGAATGGCCTAAATACTTGATTGTATTTAAATAATTTGGTTTAGGATATTTAATTTAACAAATAACTCAACTACAACAAATGAATGAATCTTTAATTAGAAGGACTTAACCTTCGTTTTACTGTTTTGTATTTCATTCAAAATTCTAAGCAAAAAGCGAAGCGTTTTCCTCTAAATGAGATGCTTTAAAGAACTGCTATGTATATCCGTACTTTAGCACTCTTAAAAAAATATGTTTTTACTTTCTCAAATATTGCTTCAGATTAATTACAAACGATTTTTATAGAAGCGGTAATGTTGACCATATGTTGTTTTTGCTCCGAAAATATAGGACGGACGAAACAATACCGACAGCAATTTGTGCTCGCAAAACAACAAAGATAAGAGCAACCAACGTTCGACTTCACGGACTGTAATGGTGATTAATTAATTTTCGCAATAGGCAATGTGAATGAATGGGAGCTGCTAGCAAACAACAGGTCTATGGGTTTACAGGTCTACAGGTACAACAGTAAATGCAAAATTAGTGCAAATACTGAAAATACTTCAAGAGCTGCAAGAGCATTTACATTAAAAATTAAATAAAATTACTTTAAGCTAAACAAAAATAATCATGAAATACAAGTGCAGTTACTGCAGTAAGACTGCATCTAAAATGCAATTGCAAAGCAATATGCACTTTGCAACTCAAAACATTACGAGTACATATAGTACGTATATGTTATGTCAAATATGTATGTAGTCAAATTTTTCACCAGGAATAAAAAATATTTTGACAAATGAACCTAAATAACAGGTTGCAGTTCATCCGTACTTTGTATTTTTATTTTTATCGGCTTTGGGTTAAAAAGGGCACAAAAACGTCTTCTTCCCAATGAAAACTGAAAACTGAAAACTGAAAACAGAAAACTGTATTCTTCTGCACTACAACGAACAATTCATACTCATATGTTATGCTTTCAGTAGGTAATTGGGCAGGCAGCGTTGTAGACAGACAAAAACGGATGAACAGATAGCCTTGATACCTCATTTATTATTATATTTTTTCTGTTTCAGTTTCGGCTTCCAGAACGTGTAGTTTGTAGCGGTGTACACGCTTGTGACTGAATTTTGATTCCAGTCTTTACATAACAGAGAGTTTATACGTTTAAAAGTAATCGGCACAGAAACAAAAAAAAACAAAAACAAAATTTAAAGATCGACACGTTTCCATCAATCTGAAGCAGAACATAACTTATGCACGTAAAAGCCGAACTCGAAGCTGAACTCGAAGTTGGAATCAATCTCAATCCTCCTCAAGAAAATTGTTACAAATGATCACAAATAACAGATCTTTGCCGCTCAAACACGCTCATTCGCCGGTCGCCGGCTTATGTACAATTTTATATTTCTATTTTGAAGTCTTCCCATCAAAAGAACCGAACCCGCTCCTAACCACACAACCTCACATGTGTTTTGACCAACTTGCAATTTAAATGTGACTCTTTGAGTCGCTGTTTCACTTTTGAATTGTTAAACGAATCGCGTTTAATTTTCTGGAGCGCTGAGACTAGCTCCATCCGAAAATGGCGCCGTATTATTATGATGCAGTCTCGCATTTCGTTTTAAGGTGAATTCTGATGATTTTTGATTAATGAGATTTTTGCATTTTACTGCTGTTGCTATTGCTGCTGCTGCTGCTGAAATTCTTTTAACACAATTTAGGGAAAGAGATTAATTTGCTTGTTGCGCACTTACCTTGTCCATTGTTGTTGTTATTGTTCTTGCGCGATGTTTTTTTCTCTTTCATCCATGGATATTCTGGCACAGACTCCATACCATCCGGTGTTTGTGACACAACATTCACCGGATATCCGCCAACAGGTGTTCCCAGCTTCGGACTTTCTGGACTTAAATGATTAAGAAATTCAGCCATTGATGGTTGAGAATTTATAAAACCCCCCTCGGATGTCATCCAATATGCCGTGTCGGCCACACGTTTATCACAGTTGGGTCCCATTTTATTGACAAGCATTGTTTGTGGTGGCACTTGTGGCACTGGTGCAGAAATTGATACCACAGTTTGCCCTGTTTGTACGTGTAGTGGGTTCAATGGAGATTCTGATTTTATTTGTGCGCCCATTTGGGGATCTAAAGAACTACAAACTTCTTGCATTTTACGTTCAATTACATGAAGTTTTATTTCATAAAACACAATGCAATCTGTTTTAATGTCTTCACTTATGTTTATGCATAATTTTAGGACTTAGGACTGAAATTAGAAGAAATAATAGATTTTATTTAATATGTTAACACGCTGATTTGTGTATAAATATACTTGTTTCACATATTGTATGTATAATAATATATATAGTATACAAGTATTATACACATATAATATGTATACTATTACAATCATATAGTATGCTCATATATACATATATGAAAATACTCTACAAACTAATATTAATTATTTTGTGTCCAAACAATTTTAATAAAATCAAGGAAAAGAAATCATAATTTATTTTACTATTATAATTTTTATATCATTGATATTCCGACTTAAGTCTGAAGTCCTCATCAAGAAACTTAACATTATATTAAAATAACATACCAATCAACATTAATATAATGTATTTATATATATATGTATATATAGGAAATAAATTGCGGTTTCTTTTTCTTGATTTTTATTTTTTAACAACAATAAAATTGGACCAATTAGCCTGTAAAAACATTTTATTATAAACAAATATATACTATCTCTATATAATATGTATCTCAATATATATGGTTTTAGCCTGTAATATTTTCTTGACTGAATTTATAATTTAGTTAATAAAATTAATTTTTTATTAAAATCAATAAAAATATCCTTACTGTTATCATATCTTTTCTACTCGATACAAGCCATCAAATTATTAATTAAATACTTTAAAAATTCACTTTTTTAATAACCAACTTATATTTATATATTTTTAACGGATACCCTGTAGACAACTATAGTCAAAATATATATAAATATAATTTTTATATATATAAAATATAATTTTTAAAACTAATATAAAGAGTTGATTATTGTTTAACATTGACCAATATGTCCGTTCAAAAATATTTTAATATTTTAATGGAATATACGTTTTTAAAAATTAAAATTGTTTTTTATATGAAAACTTTTATATATAGAAAAGAAAAAATAAGTGATATTCATAAGTGAAATTGTAGTATATAAAATATATGCTTTATGATTTTAATAGATACTTTTTATACTCGTAGAACACAAAATATTTTTAAAATATTAAACTCAATTTATTGATAAATATAAAATAAATATTATAAATTAACAATTCATTATTTTTAATTCTAATTAAATTTTTCGACTATTTTAGGTCATCATTTAGTTTCATTCATATTGAACCATATCTAAAAATTAATTTTCAGTAATATATGGTATACAAACATATAAAATATAGAACTACTACGATTTTAAAACTTTTTAAGTTATTAAATTTTCTTTATTTTTATATAGATCAAATTTAGCAAAATTATTTTAAAATTTGAAATAAGAGTAAATATATTATTATCAATACAAAGAAACTGCTATTAATCACACTGTATTTTAAATTTATATCTTTATAATTATATATATAACAACTTATACATATATAGAACTATATTCTTTAGTCATATAAAACTAAATGAAAACATGTATATATGTTAGCTTTACTTCATTTTATAATAGCTTAAAATCTAAGGATATACTCCGAACTGGCACAAACAGAAAGATTAAAGGACAGGTCTAAATAAACTCATTTCGTCGAACTGTTCAGTAATATATATGCTCAATGGGACACGTGAAGTATCTGGAAGACCATTTTGATCGGCGTGTCACCTGAAATAACGGAGTCTGAAGATGTGCTCTATGTGCTCGCATCTTTGCGAGTGATGCAGTGTTATCACTGAACAGTAAGTACTTCTATATAAAGTTATTTTAAAACCAAAATGGATTTATGGTGTCTCGATCTAGGGAACAGCTGCGAAATCTAATATAGCGATATTATAAAGATTTGCATCAAAAATACTTCGTTTGTGTGCTACTGCACCATGGTATCTCTCAAATAGTACTCTACAACGCGATCTCCACTTCCCATCAGTGTTTGAAACAATACTAAGAGTCAGCAAAAACTACCGAACGAGACTATCAAGTCACCCGAATTCACTTGCACACGAAGATTTTCTATGTCGGATCTGCCAAATAGAAACCAAAATACGATTCACCAAACTCACTAATAGCCAACTAGTTATTCATTCTTAGTTGTAATTTGGTTTTTGTAATAGATTGTAATAGATCCCGAAATCCCATATACTGTGTATGGTTGTATTCCATTTCATGTGTTGTGTGTAGCAATATCCCTAAGATATATAAGTTGGCTGATGTTTAATGTAATGCATTCACTTAATATGTCTTCAGTTTTAAAATTAATTACATAGAAACGACAAGCATGAGTTGGAAAAAGTATGAGTTGTTAAGATGGTATGTTACTTTCTTTTTGAAACCCCTACGAAAATTTTAATACGTTCTCTGTTTAGAGCAAAAGTCTATTTGAAACTGTCTTGAATCGGTTTTATCCTGCACTTGCAGTTCACTTAAAGATTTTACAGTTTGGATCTCTTGCACTACCTGCGTATTTCCACTAAGGTCTTCATCGCTGGAGTACAAAGTGACAGATCCAAATTATTGTTATTGAGTTATTCCACTGGTAAGGTAGTGAGCCCTTTTATCGATTTGTGTTTTCGTGCCCCAGAATCTAGTACAAAGTGAAACACTTGTTTTATTTACATTAAATAAGTTGCAATATGCAATTTAGTAAAAAAATAAATAACCAGGAATATTATTTATCTGTTGTAATGTAATTTTATAATTATATATATTTCAAAACTAATTTTTATTAAAATAAGCTCTTACCATAATTTAACATATTATATGTACAAGTACTTAATAATGTTCTTCATTAATTACTTACTAATGTATGTATAAAATAAAAATTAAATATTATTAAATATATTATAACATATATTATATATTATATTTATATATTTCTGTATACCCACCGTACCAGTATATAGAGAAACTTATTCAAAATTTTGGAAAATGTAAAACATCTTTATTTCAATATTATAAACATTTTTAATAACAATTGTTTTTATATATTTTTTTATTCGGCTATAGGTCACTTTTTGTTAAATAATTCAACGTTCAATATTTTTTTATTATTTTTTGTATTGATACCTTAAAGACCCAGTTACAATGGATGCTTACAACAACACGTATTTTAAAATACAGTTAAAATTGCTTGAATGCAGAAATAGTGATGTTAGAAAGCATACTTCAAACTTCTCTCACCACTTATCTATATAAGCATCTAGCTATTGGTACTTTAAGTGTAGCAAAACGGATTTAATATAAAATTATATAACTAATATGACAGATAGGACAACTCTTCCCCAGACTCCGTTATACGGGAATATATTACATTTATTTATCGTTAGTAATTAAGTGATATTTCTTCAACTGAAATCCATTTATAGTTCTTTAACAATAAACGGAATATAAATGATTATCTCTTTGTTTCAAAATATATTATTTTTAATTGTAGTTAATTTGCCATAAGTACTTTAGTCACACAAATACTAAATTTTTTATAAATATATGTACGATTGTGTAGTCTCAGGCTTTAGCTTATATATTATAGTTAATAATATGTACAGTGGCGTAACTACATTTTTTAGGCCTGTAAGCAAATTCTAACTAAGGGGCCCCTATCAACATACTAAGGGGCCCCTCTTTTTATACTCTTTATACGAAAAATGTGAAAAGGGTATATAAGGTTTGTCAAGATTTTCGTGACACATTAAAGGAAACGTCGGAAATACCATTAAGTATATATCAGTACAGTATATATATACTTTTTCAGTTCAAGCTACTCTCTCAGCTTTTGAACCCTTCGAATGAAACTTTGCACACATACTTTTAGCCGACCCTATTCACCATTTGATTTGATTGAAATTGGACGTCTTGTAGCTGTGATATAAACTTAACAATCGGATATGAGGTTTCTCCGTTTTTAATAAAGGTGTTTAAATAGAATTTGGTGTATACAGTACTGATATTTGCAAAAGACAATGTACAAAATTATTTTCAAATGGGTTTAAATCTAGATATAGTATGTGTCTCTCGATTAAGACACATACTTTTCTTAGAAAAACTTTTTTATTTTATATTTAGGTTTAATATTTTATTTGAAGTACATACATATTATGTACTTTAAATTTATAACTTACGTATCTTTTATAAAATGCAATATGAAGTTATTCCAATAAAAAACGTTTACAAACATTTATAGTGGGGCCCCCTAAATTCGGGGGCCCGAAAGCGTTGCTTCCAGCTGCTTCCCTGTAGTTACGCCACTGAATATGTATTACATTTAATATATATTTTAATATTATTATATGATTTATTTCAAAAAACATTTTTCTTAATACTATTAACTTTTATATTTAGTTAAAGTTAGAGTTACAGCGATTCACATATTAACATTTTTATTATAGTTCAAGTTAAGTATTATAAAACTTATTAAGTTTTTTTAGATATATTTAAATGTTTATTATCACATTTTTTAATTAATATTAAAATTTTTAAAATGTCTAAAAAAATTTTTGTATTTTTCTTATATCTTATATTATTATTCTTATTAATTTTATTCTTATTTCATGTAATTTATATTTCACATAATTTTTTTTAAATTTAATTTTATTATATGCAATAAGTACACATGTACATGAAACATCTCATTTCATAGATTAATTTATTTATTATAACTAAATTCAAAATAATTTAAATTTATCTAGGTATAGTAATTTTCCCTTTTTTCATCCCGTAATTAAATTAAAAATATTATGGAACATATTATGGTGATCCTTTTAATAGAGTATCTTTTAATAAAATTATCATCAATATATTTTGCTCTATATATAATATTAATACAATTATATTTGTATTTAGAGAGCTTAATAAATTCAATATATAATATGTTTTTAACACGTTGGTTATATAGTTGATTATATAGATAAATAGATTAAAAAATAAGCAGAAATCAATAAAATCAATTAACAATACAGTATCTCGTTAGATTAA